ACACAGAGACACATATACACACATACACACCTACTGAGATACACACGTACACAGATATGTTGACACACATATACACACAGACACATGCACACACATGTTCACATAGACAAGTTCACACAAAGACACAGAGACAGGCACAACACACAGACAACATACATACATTCACGCAAACACAAAAGTTATGTTTAATTTTAACATTTTAAAAGTGACATAATTTTGTTCCTAAATGCTGGACTTTTTTTCTAGTAAACATTATTATTTAAAGAGATTCAGTATTTTCTGAAGCCCTGTACAATGGGTGAATCATTTATACAAATAGATTCAACAGCACATGTTTGACACAAACAGGAGTAGAGGAATAGGAGAGGCAAGGTTTAATGAGGATCAAACGGAAAACGTTACGGGGGGGGAGGGGGGTACATATTGAATTGGTTTATTATTATGTAACAACTTCTAGAAATGACAGACCATTTATAGAAAAGAAAAGAGAGTTTAATATCTTCCCCATATCTCCAAACATTTGAAAATGAAAAAGTGAAACACTTTAATTTTAGAGGTGTGAGTGGGGTGTGACCAGGGGCTCTTCTGAGAAATATCAGGTGACTTACTAACAACAATTTATACAACTCTCAATGTATCCTATTTACACAGACTGATTACTAAACCCATTGACACATTACTGAGAGCTTTATTACTGTGGAGCTCTTTTGTACTATCAGACGCACCAAGAATATAGAGCACGTAGGTACACTATTTCTCAGCCAATCTGTTCTGCCAGTGATGTTCTCCTGTCCTCTGCTCTAACCCATGCTGCTAACTTGAACTTCTCCACTCCTATATAACGTATTGCCTCCTCCCACCAGACTCTTTCCACTCTGAATTCCTTTAAAAGGCTACTTCAAAAACTCGGTAACTGTTATTCCTCAAACCTGTGTCCTAATCTCTTAACTTTATTTGTGGTTCCACAGAAACACACTTCCACACTCTACTTCACACTCACCTTCCAAATGTGCCATTGTCCCACTCTGTCACTTGGTTGCTCATTTGAGCAGGATCCTAATCAACCTGTGCATTTGTAGTAAGGTTTATCATTTGTTGTTTAAGGGTTGCTCCAAGCACCATGACCACTTCAGTGACTGGAAGTGGTCATTGTGCCTTGGGTCAGTATGAAAAGCTGGGATAGTATACAAAGTTTGCTCTCTTTCATGCTCGAGGTGTAACATCAATGTCATTGAGGTGTTATCAGCCAGCCTGGAAAAAGATTTTTTAGGCTGGTTAATGTCAATTCTGTGCACATTTTGACGCATTGTGTCCTATTCATTGGCTGAGATGCTCCCGACCAGTGGGTGGTGACTGGATCGGATTTAGCAGCTCTGCAGAATCTAGAGGCATGTCAGTAGCCTCGGAGTGTGGTGGGAAAAGGTGTGGTGGAAGAAGGGAGACCATTACTACTAAACAGCTTGCCCAATTATCTAGGAACTGGATAACCAGTGTAGGGATGCCAGGAGTAACCCTTTAAATTACTCCCTTTATAATATTGAAAAGCAACAAAAGTTGGCGCTGTATAAATAAATATTGAAGCCAATGGGCTGACATTAAGGAGTTACTGGGCAGATCTTCTCCCCTCTATATATAGACAGAATTATGCGGTGTCCAGATTAATTGGCAAATATTCAGTATTTCTGGATTCTCGTCACTGTGAATTGGTCGAATCTGATTGGAATAAAGTAGGTTTGTTTTTGCATGATGCGCCCTGACATTTATTAATGCCCTGTGGAGCTGGGAGCACCCTGTTTAAAGTCACAATGCAAAGGCAAGTATTTGGGCTGTTTCAAGCACTGAGCAGCCTCAGATTTTTATATCTACTCATTCTTTTCCAAGGAAAAGGCCAGTATTAAAACGGAGTAAGAGGTGTGATAATTCTTTACGATTATAAAACACTAATGACTCATGTTAGGCTTTATTATATAACTGCAATAAATATTTACTGTCTACCATACCATTAGACTGGGCTATCACTTTAAATTATATTCTAGCGCCACCTAGTGGACAATCTCATGGAATTCTAATAAGACTAATTCATTAATCATCTCTTTGGCACAACGGGTTCTAAACAGATTAGAAAGACTAATATCATGTCTATGTATTCACTGGTTAGAATACTATAGGTTGGAGTTTTTATTATTATCATTAATATAATTAATATCATTAATTAGCATATTGTTTACTAATTCTTAATATAATTGTTATTCTAATTATTATTGTATTATATTTAAATAATAATACACAGTAAAGTCTTTAATTGGCCACAATACGCTTTCCTAATGATATTGGTTTTAACGCATTCCAAAATCTTCGTTCATAGAGGCGAGTTTTAACATGCATCTTTGCTGCTTGTGATAACATTTACAAAATTTATATTTTTTTATTTTTTGCAAAAGGAGAATTTGAATTGAGAGTATGGGTTGAGGCACGTTAAAGACATTTTGTTTTAAGTACATTTTCAGTCCCGATGTTCAACATTTTTTAACAATTTCATATTTTGAACAATATTTGAATTTTTGATGTATTGATAAACTTTTTATATATGTTATACGTTTTAATATTTTACACTGTTAGAAAAAAAACAATAACTGTTTGAGTGGCAGATAGTGTTGTTATCTGATTTGTCATAAAAATCGTAGAAAATTGTAAAAATTTTAAAAAAAATATTTCAAATTTTTTAAAATGTACATTTCATACTCTATGACTTTAAAAAGATGTAAAAAAATAAACGAGCATTGTCATAATATTTCATGAAAGTTTATCTGGAACACATGTGGATGGGTCCTTTGATATTGTTTTGATGATTCTGATTCCACTCCATTGTTCATGACCTTTGACCTCACCATCTTCCGACATGGCGACACCAGCCTGTCCCGAAAAGCTTATCCTTAGACTCCCTGTCTGTAGCGGTGGCCTATTCAAAAACCCACGGCAAAATCTTGGAAGTCCTTACAGTCTGATTGTCTCTATGAGCCCTGGAATAGGTTAAATGGCCAAGAAAACAGGAAAATGTGGGGAAGATAAGGGGAAGAAAACGTATGGAGGAAAAGATGAGGAAATGATAGTGGATATCCTGTATTGTGAGACTGTGATAGGTGAACGTGAAGGCCAGACAACCCAAAACACTTTCTTCCAACAGCGACACGGAGAAAACAAGTGAGTAATGAGGAAATTAGTGAAAAGGGAAGTCATCGTTTACACTATTCCATTAAGAATAAAGCTAGTCGCTCATTACAGCTCTATAGTCGAAAGCAGAGGTGACAGATGTTCAAACAAAAACAACTTAAATGTGACACACACCAGACAACTACTGGCTGTGTCTTACACAAAACTGAGGTGAATTCACAATTTAAATGCAAAATTTACAATACAATTGCAGATTTTAAATTTATCCACTTGCCGTTTTTAGCCTAAATTGTGCAAATTGATCGTCACCTTGCTGCCACTTACAGTTTAGTAAATTACCCTTAATTACTACCTAAGCACAAGTGATATTGTAATTGTAAAATTTGCAATAATGAACATTCTGTCTTATTTTCCTTATTTGTGCTTTGAATGGCGAAAAAAAATGTAGTGTATAAATTGACATTACTGAATAAAAGTCACAGGTAACATCACGTGCAGAAGATAATCTGTTAAAAGAAAGAAATAGCATATTATCATGTTTTTTTTATAATGTGAGATTAACCAGCAGTGTTAAATAGTTCTAATTGGTGAATACATTTTCCTAGTTATGATATTTCCACATAAAATCATTATTTAACTTTATTTTAATGTGTACACTAGGTGCAGGTCTTTGTGACTATGGTTTGCCACAGGTGTAATACATTTTCATTTAATTTATTTTAATTTTTTTTTTTTTTTTAAATGTACCTTTTCTTAAAAACTATGTAAAAGTGTTTGTTGCACAGGGCGAAGAGTGGGCAGATTGTTAGGCAATAAGTCACTAGGTCCTGGCACCTATATAATCAAAGTTCGGTTTGTCATGCAAACTACGCCAATGCTAGTCCCGAGATAGTCTTATTCACTAAAGTGAGACTTTAGAGTGATTTTGAAATTTAAGGCCAAAATAGTCGAACTGAAAGCATTGTTCAGATTTTTGTCTAGTTTGTTTTTTTGGCCTTAAATTGAAATCCACTTTTCAATTCTCACGTTAGTAAATAACCCTGAGAGCATACGTTTGGAGGTCAGAGATCAGAACTTTCTGAATGGGATGACAGGCGAGTATGAGGCCTGTAAAAGGTTATCTGCTATGCTATATTTGTCACTGAGTGGAATCTCTTTTCCCAGCTCTGCATCAGACGCTACAGAGGACTCAGGGAAGGAGGAAAATGTTTGTCGTCATCAACCTTGAGATTATGCGAAGGTCTTATGGGCCAGCGAGATAACCCAGGCTCCTATAGAGACATGGCTAGCCCCACAGGTCAAACCCTGGTCATTTACCAAACAGGGGTCATTGCAAGCCGCACATTGCTTCAGATAGCGGGCGCCTCAAAGAACAATATGGGGACATCCTATTCCATTATATGTATTTCATAGAGCCTCGAGATTCAATTACATTTCAATTCAGGGGTTTAATCAATAAACATTCACTAAACAGCAATCCGGACTAGTTCGTTGGCAGGGAGCACAGAGAACGTAATGTAATTGTTTGCGTTCACCCGAGATGTTGTCATACTTTTGTTTTCTTGTGGTTACGCGTGGTGCAACGTTTTGTGTGGCCTATAGAGTTTATCTGTTGTACAGAGAAAAGAGGAATTAGGCAAAGTTAGATGTGCCATCTGGTTAGAGAAATGGTTTCTTCAGCTGAGACTTGGTGTTCGCCCAAGTCTCAGCTTGGTGTTGGTAGTTCTCCCTGGGTGATTAAGACACTGACGATAGCGTGACCATTCGTGTGCGCAATCCCTAAGGAGAGAATGGATGGGAATCATGTTTACACAATGTTTAGGCCAGTGGTCCCCAACCTTGTCCTCATGGACCACCAACAGTCCAGGATTTATAAATGTCCCTGTTTTATTCCAATGGAGATATTGACAAAACCTGGACTGTTGGTGGCCCATGAGGACTGGGTTGGGGAACACTGGTTTAGATGACAAAACTATCCAGTGAAAAATAAAGTTATAAAAAAATATATTATTCCAAAAATAAGTAAAAAGAAGTGAATATGATTAAGATCATAAAACTAAAAAAAACGGATCAGGCACAGACAAACACTTGAAGTGAATAATTATTTAAAAATAATTTTTTTTTTTATTTTTTTTTTTAAAGACACATAAAAAAAAAGGTTATCAAAAATTTTCTTTCCTTTTTTTTGATAACCTTCAAACATTTTTTTGATAACCTTCTTTTTTGTGTGTTTTTAAAAAAAATTTATTTTTAAATGAAATGACTGTCATGTAATAGAACTGATTGAGACACATTTTATGAGATTGAGAGTACTCTATTCATGTTGTTAGGATTAAATACATGTGTATTTGCACTTTGGAAATTGTTGAACTGTTGAATACATATAAGTCCCATCAGGGTTCTTTTGGCACTTTAATACCCGTCTTCAACCAACTGAAACGCAATATGCGTTTCACTGAAGCTGATCCTGACAGACACAGAATCAGACGCAACCGGATATGACGCGGAGAACCCAGAAGTAGAAGGTGGAACGCAGGATGAGTTCCACAAAGAAAGACCGCGAAAATCGGAATTAAAATACAATATTTAAGAAACCAAAGGACACAACAACATTATCCACGCCAACTGAGGAAGCCACATATCAGCGAAACGCGTTTTGGCAATACTTTGGACACTAGTAGACTCTTTATTTGCATTTATTTTATCCAGTGTTTTATTTAATAAATTTATCTTTGGAATTAATCTCATCTCTGCTGCCTATCCTTGGGAAAGAAGAAGTACCAGACATCTTTAAAACAGCACCAAAGGGGTTTGGATCACCCAAAAGAGATCCTAAGGAGATTCGTACCAGAGCCAGGTCCAGTATATGGCTCTTTCTTGGTGAGTGTGTTTTAGTAATACATATTATATATTGAGATATCTGCACTATTATGTACCTCTCTATCTTTACAGTGATACAGTATGAAGAGAGGGAAGTATATCTTTATTTGCCACAACTTGCTCCACCTATTTTTTTTTGTGTGTTATATATGATTTAAGGTGAAGGTGTAGGGGAAACCTCACAGGTGTTAAGAGCTAGTATCACTTTTGTAGACATACCATTCTTTGTGTTTCACATGGCAAGAAACGTAGTTGAATAAAATCCACTCACAGATTCTTCACAATTCTCTGTTTAGTGAATAACCTTTGGAGAATGTATTCAATAAACAGCAAACTAATACACTAAAACTAGCCAAGTGATGGACATTGTTGAAATGCGAGTTATTCTAATTCAGCAGTTTAATTCCTAAATCTTGCAACTTTCCAGCTCACTGCAATTTTAGTGAATAAATGCCACACTGTATCTCTTGATGCAACATTATGGTGGGGGTTACCAATAAGTCCAGCGCAAACAATAGGACATTGTCCAGGAGACAGAAAGCAAGATTCTCCCATGTGTCAAACTACAGCTTATAGTGGAATTTGCTTTGACAAATTTAGAGTGAATTAGTTTGTGTTATTGTACATGCCATTGAAAGATGTTATTTCACTTTTCCTTGGAGACATTAAAGGTCAGATCTGACTTTGTCTCTTGTCTTGAAACGTGATTAGACAAATAAGGTCGGGATTCTCATCAGACAAGTCCAACCTTGTGATTTATAAGGTGAAGTTGAGAAGTTCCTGTAATGTACTGGGGACAGTGAGCGGGCGGTTGTGTCAGACCAATCAATGTGAGATTCATGAGGATGGGTACCGTGCCAGCATCCCCTCTCGCTCATCTTTTACTGTAGCCCTTGCCCTGAGTGGCTCCTCTTCTGTAAAATTCCAAAAGATTTCATGTGTTTTGTGTTTTGTACCTAGGTTGCTACTTGACACCATGATAGCACCACGTTAATGGATTGGTAATTAGTTTTCCTGGAGTACCCTTTTAACTAGATCACATTGGTCTGTTAACCCCTGCTGTCCTGGTTTAATGTTTAAGTCAAGCTTGGGGATAGTGGAAAAATAAGGGAACTGAAAATTCTAGGGCTAAATATCCAAATTTAGCTTTTTTTGGTTTTTTTATGCATGTATGTATATATAAATGCACGTGGACCCAGCACTCACTCTCCCTGTCTTGTCCTTGCCTGGGTGCAAATCACACTTACGCCAAAATATAAATATCAAGGAAGGTGCACTCACAGGACTTTCTAGATAAATCTTGAAGTTTTATTGTGCAATTATACACTTCCTTGATATATATATAATTATTATTATTTTTAAAAAAAATTATTATTATTAATAAAAAAAAAATATTATTACTATTTTTTTTTTTTTTTTTTTAAATTTGCTTCATTTTACGAATCAACCCCCGAGTCATTACTAGTGCATTAAGCTAGTCTTGGGGTATATTTATTTAGTGGATTGTGGTAAAAAAAAAAAAAAATCAAGCATGCAACATCATTTACTGAAAATATTACTTTTTAAGCAAAAACAAAAGAATATGCAGAGCATGCAGATATTAAAGAAGTTAATTAAAAAACAGCTGAGCTTCCTCTTTTAAGCAAAACATGTATTTATTTAAGTCATTTTTAAGGTAACAATTCCTTTGTGAATACTGTCCAGTTCTAATGAATCCTACTGATAAGAATGTCTCTGTTGTCAGTTCTAGGACAGACAGGTATATGAAGAGTTCAGCTCCATTCTGCTCCTCCAGCAGTGATGAAGAACCTGCCATTAGTCATATAGATAAGCACAAGTAGCTGACCTCATTATATCAAGTGTTCTTGACAAAAAGTGATTTATATTCATTTGTGTAAGATACACATGTATAAAACAGGTAATTTAAGGTGACATCAATATGTTTCAAAGAAAACCAACTACAGGGACAATTTCCTACAAATTATACTTTATTGACACTGCCAGAAGCTATTTTAAGGAAATATTCTCTGTATAAATTAAAGCCATAAAATGTCTGAAAGGGGGATTTATATTGAATTGCACAATTTAAAGAAATAAGGTAATATGCTCTAAATATGGCATTTTTTATAGAGCCAGCTGCACATTGCAAAAGTAAAATTTGATAAATATTTTGAGGGGTTTATTCCTTCACCTTGGAATTGTATCAAAAACCTAGTGAGTTTGACCTAAATTCTGCAATTCTCTTTCATTGCCACATTATTGAATAACAGAGTAAAGGTTGTTCTTTGACTTAAAGGAACACTATTGCATTAGGAATACAAAACTGAGTCGGGCTCCAACGACGATGACATCAGCCGATGGGGGGGGATCCTAATGCCCATGCATGGCATTCTCAAGTTAGACCTTTCCCATAGGCCATTGAATCAATGGTTTCCTATTGGGTTTTGCAAGACGCTGGATGCCCTAATGCAAAGTAAAATGTGTCTCTAGTGTCTGTATGGTTGATAGCCACTAGAGGCAGTCTTAACCCTATAATATAAACATTGCAGGGCTAAGGGGGCAGGGACAATGCACACAGACCACGTCAGTATTATGGAGTGGTCTGGGTGCCTATAGTGTCCCTTTAACTCTTTTCATTAATATAATTAATATCATCAGTAGTGATCCTAGGAACAACTAATGTATCTGTTAAATCACAACTTAAAAATGGTAGATAGTCAAGCTTTAATAGTGCCGCAGGAATCAGCGTGGTTACAGCGGCCATTTTAGTGGACTATATCTTTATAGCTGGTGGTAAAGGGTGCATCCATGCTCTATCCTAGCCCTCAGTACCAATAAAATGAAGAATCTCCTAACCCACTGTCACAACATTAAAAATGGTACCACAAAGAATGTCACGAGAAATGGCTCTGCAGTGACAATGTAATGAGGAATGGCTCTGTAGTGACAACGTCATGAGGAATGGCTCTGTAGTGACAACGTCATGAGGAATGGCTCTATAGTGACAATGTAATGAGGAATGGCTCTGCTGTGACAATGTCACGAGGAATGGCTCTACAGTGACAACGTCATGAGGAATGGCTCTGCAGTGACAATGTAATGAGGAATGGCTCTGTAGTGACAACGTCATGAGGAATGGCTCTGTAGTGACAATGTCATGAGGAATGGCTCTGTGTTGTGATGCTGTGACCTGATTAGTTCCAATACAGCGTTAATCAAATGGCGCTAAAAATGTGGAGTGCATTGAAGGTAGGTTTAGTGCTGCTGCCAGGGGGACACACCAACAATCAATGTCGAAATTATCGGGGAGACTTTCAATACTAAGCTTAAGATTCCTTAACCCTCACACTGCTCATTCATTTAATCAGCTAGAGTGCACTCAAGAGCAGACGGTTTTTCCATGCACACTTACACAAGCTGGATTTGTAACCAATGGTGTAACTGGGTGGGGGGGATGTGTGTGGAATTTGGGGGTGTGAAACCCTGCATGTGGGCTCTTTAGTTTCTTAATTTTACTTCAGGCAGCGGTCTATCACAAAAAGAAAGATAAGTAGTACGGTGCTCCCCATGGATACTTTGGGTGTAACCTGGCAATGCCTATGTTTGTCACCCTTGTCGATTGTGTGAATTTGTGCTATAGCTCCCATAATATCAATATGATTTCAAAGTATCTGCTCTGTCACTGTGCCCTAGGACATCTTTGTTGCAAGGACTTCCATCAGACTCTGGGATCCAGCTCTGCTCCAGTTGCAGTGTCTTATCTGTGTCTGCGATTCCTTACTGTTCTTGTTGCTTACTGTTTGCATACAGTTTGAATGTTTGTTATTCCAGTGCTTCTATCTCCCCCAGCTGTTCCTACATATAGTCCATTATTAGTCCACCACCTCAATCTAATAATTAACGAGACTGAGTAGTTGAAGATCTATCGGACGTGTGGAGCTTATTTGATACTTTGACAATCCATATACTGCGTAAAACCTCTATGGCACCAAATAGACAAAATTATCTGAAATATTTCCTGTTTTGCTGTTCTGGCCTACATAGAGCAAATTTTCTTGCCAATTCAACACTAT